GTATCATAATTCAGGTGGCATTCACCTGTACATGATGCAACATACTTCAGGTTGCATTCACCTGTACATGATGCAACATAATTCAGGTTCATTCACCTGTACATGATGTAACATAATTCAGGTTGCATTCACCTGCACATGGTGTAACATAATTCAGGTTGCATTCACCTGTACATGGTGTAACATAATTCAGAAGCTGACCTAGTAAGCATAGACTAATGCAAACTTACATAAAATATTGAGCAATGTACAGGATTAGAATGTAAAGTAAATAAATAAATAAATAAATAAATAAATAAATAAATAAATAAATAAATAAATAAATAAATAAATAAATAAATAAATAAATAAATACAATTTTGGGGCTTAAAGCTATGCAGGAATATTAAATATATAGAGCAATATTAATATTAGGTTGAGTTTAAAAAAAAGTGAAAGTGAAACCATTGAAATACATACTAATAATGAGATATTGCCACGCAATATCACGATGCAAAAAGACAAAATATGCTTTGATATGATAATTTAAAATGTGATAGACTTCATATTAATTATTATGAGTAACATTTGTTTCTCTAATATTACCAGGCAACATAATTTACATTAATAGGCTAATATGTTCATTTCTAAAGATACTGGCTAAAATTTAGATGGGAAAAATTTTGACTGAAAATAGACTATTGATGGTACTACCATATGGTATAATTTCTTGAAAAATGAACAAGAATAATGAGGTCATCGTAATTACATAAAAAATGTAATTACTATTCATGCCCCTCAAATATTAACGAAACAAAAATTATTTGTAGTAATTATCCATGTACTTAATCTCAAGTGTCCTTATGAAATAATACAACATAAATCGAATAAAAGCTCCAAAAATGGTACTGTAACATCTGTACTATATTCTAACAGGGATGTAGCTTCTACACATATGAGAAATGGTTACTGAAATGAAAATAACATAATGGAGTTACTATACTCTCTAAATTACATATCTTGATACCAGTAATCAGTGAAAGAGACGCATTATTCCTGTTAAATGATAAACAGGTATATACAAGTATGGTTTGTACATGGTATGTGCATTTTGATGATGTGATTTTCTGGGAACCGAAAGTTTATACTTTTCCAATTTTAATATCCGGAAATTGTCGAAATTAACATTTCTAATATTTGACACTGGTGGCGCTATGAACTGAGTACATCTCCTCAATCAATGCTCTTATCAATGGAAACACAATTATTTGATTTCTAAGGAAACGGTAAACATACCAAGTTATTAGTTCTTAATTATGTTGACAGAAGTAGTGGAATAATATTTGGTTGGAAGCAAACATACATGATCTATTCTGTGCAGCTGAGGTTTTTAATTTGTGAAACATAATAGATAAGCCCATTTTCAGATGTATCCTATGGTAACTTATTAGGCCCGCAAAAAAATATTTGTGTTTTTGGTCATCACAGATTTCTTTCTTTGTCAAAATTTTAGAAAAAGCAAAAGAAAAAGGCAATTACTATGAAAAATCAATATCAAAACATGTGATTCATGATAATGTGAAGTATTTATTATTTATGTTCACTTGGATTTTATTTTTGCTAAAGAGATGAATATGTAAATAAAATTCAGTGATAATACTTCTTTCCTATAGATTTTGTATTTGACATTCAACTCATCAAAAACTAGTGAAAAATAAACATCATACAAAAGAACCAAACTGTCTTTTTAAGCAAAAACTAATTCCAGCTAAATAAAAAAATACTGTAAAATACTTTATTTGCACTTAGAATTAATTTTTGCTAAAGGAAAGTTTCAGTGAAAATAAAATCCAGCGAATATACCTTTTTTTATATATTTTATATTCAACTCGTCAAAAATCAGTGAAAACAAATTCTATACAAAACAGCCAAAAAGGTTTTCAGCAAAAATTAATTCCAGCTAAAAAAAAGTATTTCACAGTATATTACAGTAATTTAACATTAAATTGAAAAGAAACATGTGTGCACATCAAATTTGGAAAACAAAGATTTGTTTGAATTATGTTTCAAGTTTACATAATGTTGTGATGAGAAGTTCTCTCAATATGTTTATCGCTGGATTGATGAATCAGTCTGATTCGATGTGTTTATAATAAATGAGTTTGTTGTATTGTTGAGTAAATGATGTCATTGTTATATGTATCTTGGATTCTTCAAAGGAAAAAAAAGAAAGTATTTTCTGATTGCCTGTAGAGGGCGCTTAACACATTCCAATTTAGTTGTTTTTCTAACACATTTGTGTTCTGCATTACAAAATGCACCTTGTTTTCTCAGTAAGGAATCGCAAAAATGCTAGAAAGATTATAATCAAATATACAATGGTACAAATTGTGTCTGTCACTCTGTATTGAAGTATGTTGTAAGTTATATCTTCAATGTCTTTCTTATGCTACAATGCATGAAAGAGTGAAAACATGCTCTGTATGTGTTTGTGTTGGAATGACAGAAAATTATAGACAAGAGTATCTACTGGAAACAATTTGCCCCCAATCATCGTTTTTATTTTTTTGTCTTTGATTCTTTTTGTGCCCGCATCACTATTTGCCGCCTGTGCTTGAAAGATGGTAACAGGCAAATTTCTGAATGTGTGTTTAGTTATATAATATGAGGTTATTACGAGAATACTTCAAAGTATGCACGAAGACAGTACAGCTGGAGTATGTCGAGGTCGATGCGACAGTGTACTGTCTGAGTTCGTACTATTAGGTATCCTCGTAATAACCTTATTATTATACATCTTTACCTTCTAATGATACATCATGGGAATGCCGAAATCCAAAAAGTTAAAAACAGAAACAGCAAAATTCTTTGTGTGGAGTCCGATCAAACTCTGGTGGCAGCCATGTTTGTTTTTATTATTAGAGGATGCTTGTGCGCGTAAACATTCCATATTTGGAATTCACATTTCCTAATATGGTAGGATGAAAATACCCAGTGCAATATCGCGAAATTACGGCACACTGTAACTTATGGCGTAATGGTAACAGATGTACAAGTATAATACCCCGGGTAATAATAAATATTTAGATGTGGATATGTAGAGTTATTTTAATAAAAATCATATTCAGTCATACACTCCATTCAGGCAGGCAGGTATCTTATAAAATATTTATAATCCTAAATATTTATAAACTTAAACAACAGTTGCACATGTGTGAATGCATGTTGTATTGACGTAGTCACTTCAAATGGTTTTTAATTTATGCATGAGTGAACTACACTGAATAGAAAGAGAGGTGTCTGCCAAGCTAATAGTTTGTTGTTTTCTTGTTTTAGTTTTGTTTAGTTTAGTTTTTTATACTAGTGTATCTTCTTTTTTTATTCTGAATGTTTCTGACATGGAATGACAACCATGCTTTATTGTACTTAGATCTATGTCCATGTTTAAGAAAGGACTTCAATAAAGACTATAATTATTATTACAAAGTTTTGGATTGGTCAATAAGATGGCTTCCAAATGGAAACAGCTGGGTTTATTACAAAAATTTGGATTGGTCAATAAGATGGCTTCCAAATGGAAACAGTTGGGTTTATTACAAAGATTTGGATTGGTCAATAAGATGGCTTCCAAATGGAAACAGTTGTGTTTATAAATTTAAGCATGTTTATATGTATAAACATGGCAGTGGTACTGAAAATAATAAAATTATTCTAAGCAGATTTTGTCAATATTTATATGGGTATGAAAGTACTTGTCACTGTTATTAATCATTCTCATAAGTAAACATTTGTTTTAATTCAAACTGCCAGCAAATTTTTATATTGTTGATAGTACAGTTTAAATAAAGTTTGAGTAAAATGCTTTTAGGGACACTTGAAAACAATGTCAGCACGTCAAATACCAAAATTAGTTGTTTTTACTGCTTGTTGTATACTGACCTGGATCGACACCTTGATCAGACGGCATTTACTACAGCGCCCTCATACGGAGTGTTGGGATAATTGTGTGGACTTGTAATCTAGCAAAACTTCACAGGCACGCTTGTTCGGCGGCCAAAATGTATCAGTACGCGTTATTGCACGGATCTTATCACTAATTTCTTCCGTATTATATCAAATTTAAATAATGTGTTATTATTGTTGTGGGTTTTGTTTTCGACGAGATTTAGTTGTAGATTTAGACGGTAGTCTTCATCCGGGTACTCATATCGTCGACCAGGAGTGACACGCCCCCTACAGCCTGTATACAATAATAAAAACTTCAAAAGCGACTTATTATTAATGTTATTTTTTGTACTGTATTATTATTACAGATAAAAGTCGACTACTCAATCTTTCTGCATCAACATCAACTCGCCAAGGACAACTACATCGGGAATTTATTATGTGACTGTTTTCCCGGGAAAACTACACGTGAAAAAAAAATTGCGGACTGTTTTTGTTTCGGTTTTCTTAATTATTCAATAAATCGCCGGAGAACTTCTGGAGGAAATATCAGTTTTTATAGAGTGCCGCTGGGGTCTCACGCGTTGCTAGCATATCGAGTATTCTCTATTCATCAAGCGTGACGTAGGCGGAAGTAGACTCAATGCCACAGAAACCGCAACTAGCTAGCAGTGCTGGCAAGCCTGCCGCTGTGAAGGCAAAAACTAGCTTGGGAGCGGGGCCGCTCAGAACGAAGATGGGCAATGGCGCTAGCGCCTCAAAGTCCGATAATGTCGTCGTCGATGGGCAGACGACGGATATCAATCGATTCAAAACCGTGGTTACGGAGCTACGCAAGGAAATGAAGGAAAAAGACGCAGTGATAGAAAAATACCAACAGGAATTGAAAGCGCGAAGTGTGAGTATCGCCGAAAGGGACAGCGAAATCACGCGTCTCAAAGAAGAAGTTGATAAACTTAAATCTGTTTTGCAAGCTACACACCAGGGAAAAGATGGAGTGCCAGATATCTTATCAACAATACACGAAGAAAGTGGCATGGCCGGTGCAAGTAACAAAGATCGTAACAAAAAACAAGGTGTCTCCGGTGAAAGCGGGTTGCAGAATATTGAACCTGGGCAGCTAGCAGATCTTGAACGGCATCCGAAAGACTTCAGGTGGGTAGGTTGTTATCAGTGCGTGTGTGTACACGTGTTGGTGTTTAAACGTGTCTCTCATTCATCGATGGGTCACCCATGGAAGTACTGAAAGTTGCGTAATTTTGGAGCTGCACCGTGCAGTGGGCAACATGTACGTTACCGATCGTGTTTCAGACCCAACGTACAGTTACGTTGTCTCTAATCTGAGTCGAGTACAGGATATGCATTGTATTGGAAATGGTTCTAGTGTGTATCTCGTTGCCGGGGAAAATAATTTTCCAGTGGCTATATTATACGTGTTTATGTAGGTCAGACTACATAACAAGTGTTATGTTTTTGTACGAAAGCTGTTGACTTTTCATTCTGATTGTATGTCCACGTTAACATTCCGTTGCCAAGCCTCGAGCTAACACGAGCCGGATCAGAGTGTCTTGTTTATTTACTTTAACGCCGTGGGAAACTGTGTTCGTGTACACATGGGCCTCTATTCTTAGCTCTACGGTGTATACTAGTAACCGTAAATGGCCGGTGAAATAGCATGATTCTACGAATCGTGGGCATATTAATTTCGGTAACTGCCCTGGCTATCATTTGTTAAAAACTATGTTTTCCTTGTGGAATTATTTGCTGTTTACGGGTCAGATTTATATAATAGGACAGCTTGTATGCGCTTGTCGATAAATCCCAGTTAACTGTTCATTATTTCAATAACAAAGTGAAGCGCCGATTTAGTATGTCGTCTTTATGAAATTAACAATGGTATCATACTCATGTGACCGAGATTCTGCCGTGTTGTTTCTATCAATAGCTACTCTACTTCACCCGTCTCGCTTACCTGATGACAGCTTCTTGTCAGGAATTGTTGACATCAGAGCTCCTCATTTAGCTTGTTAAATTCATCCATACTTTACGCTTGTAAACATAACTGACATGACAACCTAGCAACAGTGACTTACTGCTTAAGTAGATTGATATTTTGCCGATATCATTCCAAACCCTTGTGTTTTGTGTTCAGCTTCTTAGACATTTTTGATAGACCGAAAATTTGAGTATTGATTGAAAACTATATGCAAACAGCATGAAATAACTGGAGAAAACAAGTAGGGCAAAAAACACAACTTTCTGGCACATAGCATGTTCCTATGCTATATACTCCGATGAAGGGCATGATTTAACATTGCTGGCGTGCTAAGCATTGTCTAGGGTGACACTTGCCATTATGTAAACTCTTAAAAATCTTTTTCAAAAACTGCTCAAACGAAAAAAATTTTGTTTGCATTAATCAATCAATGCTTAAACCAATTGGGAAATGATTTGAAAATTAATCTTTTATTTCAAGAATGACATGCATGTAAACTAGAAGAGAGAGACATATGTTTTACCTGCCATTTTCCCCGTCATTTCTTTTTTTTTTCTCATTTATCATGGGATTAAATCAAGTCTTCTGTGGTTATAAATTATGTTTATATGTTAGCTCACAGCCATGTAATAGCAAATTTTCAATGCCCATTTTTATTTTATTTTGGTAATTATTTCAAATCTTGCACGGTGAAAGTCGCTGCAATTTATTTACGTGTTTGGAAATAGTTGTAAATGTAAGTATGCCAAAAAACATAAAAATCAAACAATAACGTATCTACATCAACTGGTCAGGTTCAGGGTAATTCAAGGTTCAGTCAGTCTGACACGGACTGTGTCTGTCCCGCCCAATTAGTTCTTTTGTATGAATAGCTTGTCATCAGGGTCAAGTAGGTATAAAAGTAGGTTTTTATGCAACCTGTTCTGGTATGGTTATCATATTAATAGTTTTAGTTCAAAGTTTCTATGAATGTTATGTAAAATAAAATCTTTTTTTTTTTATTTATGGAATTTTTTTTTTACTTATCATCTCTCTTCATTATTATATTAAAGTAAAAACTTAGCCATTATTATTTTATTAGGCGAAATAGTTGTACACAATAGACAACTTGATAAGTTTTTATTTTCTACTTGTCTGTTTAGTACTTTTGTGACCACAAACCCATTCCCTCTATTTTGATAAATATTTATAAATTTCACAATTGAACTCGAGCAGGAAATTGTTATTGGCTGATGGAACAATGTTAGAACCTTTTAAAATGATGTCATTGTGCACTGCTCTCATTAATTGGATGGAAGGAAGGATTTATGAATATGTATAAAAAAACAAGGTAATGGGTTTGTGATCGCAATAGTATTATTATAATCATTTCATGTAAACATATGAACTGATTTTATGGAAATTTATACAATATTCTGGGAGATCTTCGTGCTTCATCCAAATCCAAAGAATATGCTTGTTAGTCTTTGTAGGTTTTCATCACTCATTTGTCAATTTAATGCCATGCCATTGCCAAACCTTTATGATTGGTCAAATGTCAATTTAATGCCATGCCATTGTCAAACCTTTATGATTGGTCAAATGTCAATTTAATGCCATGCCATTGCCAAACCTTTATGATTGGTCAAATGTCAATTTAATGCCATGCCATTGCCAAACCTTTATGATTGGTCAAATGTCAATTTAATGCCATGCCATTGCCAAACCTTTATGATTGGTCAAATGTCAATTTAATGCCATGCCATTGCCAAACCTTTATGATTGGTCAAATGTCAATTTAATGCCATGCCATTGCCAAACCTTTATGATTGGTCAAATGTCAAATTGTTTTTCAATCATCATT